CCTCGGGTGATCAACCAGAGGTTCAGGCTGTGATTCAGCAGTTGCCATACACCTACCTTCCAACTTTCATCTTCCTTCACTACCTTGGCAGTATAAGATCCAAGATCGTGTAATGCTGCGTGCTCTTTTTTGTCTGCCTTCTTAACCCACAGACAGAGACAGAACATGTCTAATCTGTGCAGTGAACCCCCATGTTAGAGAAAAAAAAGTTACTTCTATATAGTAAGAACAATGAGAAGGGCATTGTGTCTGCCAAAGTTGCACTTCTACATTATGAACGGATGGCTGGCTATGACCTAAGACCTTTGAAAATTGAATTGATGAAAGAAACATGTTCAGATTTAATTACATATAATTGCACAAGGCACAGAAATTGTAAATCTAAGTGTAGCCACAAGGCCACAAACCTCAATTTACTGAGAGGGTATATGTGCCAGAAGAGCATAAAAAAAATTCATCCTTGTTCAGTTTTATGGAATTTCCATCTCAAAACTTGATATTGACCAATTACACTAAATATATATTTTCTTTTTTAATTCCTTAATTAAGCAGTTTCAGTTGTTTTTTCAAAGTTTGATCCACATTCACATTTTTTAAAAGAATCACCTTGAGTTTTATGGTATTTAGTAAGACAGAAAATGGTCATAATGGAAGCTCACTTCCTGAGCTACAAAGTGATTGGCCTTTATAGAAATCTCAGGTATCTGTACTGCTCATTGCGTACATGTTTCTGAAAAATCCAGCTGATCACTGTGAACAGCTAATCAGCTTACATGTTAAATGATTTTTAATCCTTCAAAAGTTTGTCAGAATAGTACCATTTTTGTGTCAAATAAGGATGTATTTGAGTCCAAAATGCCACATAATCCAAGGCTGTATGTATAGATATAGAGAAAATGAAAACTATACTTTTAGAGAGAAAAAAAAACCTGAACAGTTGCTATATTCCACGTAAATAAATAATAAACTGAACTTCTGAATAAATTTGATATTATACTGGGTCTGGGTGGGATGAAGCTAGGGTGCAGAGAGGAAGGTGATAGGGCTGCAAAGGTGGTCCTTGTTTGGAAACAAGCTAGACATTGTTCTGCTAGTGGAAGGTAGTGGTGGGAGGTAGTGAGACATTTTTTTTGTTTTGCTTGTTAATTTACTTTTTCTAACCTCTCTATCTGACCTATTAAATTTTCTTCGTCTTAGCACATGATTTTTCTCACTTTTGCTCTTCCTGCTCTCTGAGGAAAGTTGGAATGAGAGGGTGAACAGGTGAACTGTTCAACTGCTGAGCTGTTGACCAGAGTCAACCCACCACAGATGCTCATCCTTTTCTAATAAAATGCCAAAACAAATCATTTTATCTAGATGCTGCCCTGGTTGAAGAATATTATTACACTGTAGACTGAAATTTTCATTCAAATAGAAGAGAATTAAGAATCAGAACTAGCAACAGAACTTGCATGTAAGATGCTGCCATGCAGCCAGTGATTATCTGGATTGATCTTTTCATTGATGTCCTTCGTGGGTTTTTTTCAATCTAGCAAATAATTTCTTCTCCTTTGGTTTTTAAGACTTGTGTGTTCATGTTGCCCAGGGATGGATAAGTACAACCCATAGATTCTGTGCTGCCCTTTCACATCTCTAACTTTCAGCAAGTCAGTAGGTACCTGCGCTGAAAATAAAACTTTGATGAGAAGATTGTTCTGGGATGCTTCTCCTTCCCCCCAAAAATAAGATTCGTTATAAGAATATAATATGAATTTATATGTCTACTGCACTTACTTTTACATTAGAGCAAATGATTCTCTTCACTAAGCATGAATTATAAAATAAGTCTTCAGACTGTGACACAGTCAATATAAAGACATGCATATAGCTGGACTGTACAGGCATTAAGACTTCTGCATGATGTATCTCTGCATTTCACTTTTTCTTTTAAAAGAAAAATAATTTCCCTTATTATAAAAACAAACAAACAAACAAAAAAACAAACAAACAAACAAAAAAAACACTTCCACTTCCTTCCAGAAGATCAAAAGCTTGCAAATCAAGAAGTATCCTTGCAGAAGTTTCCAAAATCCAGGATGGTTTTACACTCAGGGAACCCATAAAAATATCAATAGTGCTGTCTGTTGCCTCAGAATAAGAGGAATATTCTACAAAGGCATTCTCATTTTACAGTATTGTGGAAAGATAGTGTTTTGGAAGTAAGACAAGCCTGACAGTGAAGAGATCTCAGGTGTTTCTTCAAAGCAAAATGTAAGGGACATCTCCTTGAAAATAAACATGGATATAACATACAGCAGAAGTACTGAAGAGATTTTACTCTACTGCTTATTTAGCCTTTGTTTATTGTCAGAATACCTCAAATTATAAGGCGTGATAGCACTAAAATGAAGCATCTTTATTTCTTTAATGACAAGCTTTGACCAGAGATTTTTCAGAAAAATAAAATGGCATTATAGCTTTGTATGTTTTAGAAAAACAAATCAAATGGAAGTCTCAGATGTCTTTATTTTTGCTCCTTTGTGAATGCTGTCAATAATAACCCATTCTGTGGTAACTGTTTCATCTAGTGTTTTGCCACTGTAAAATATTTTTTAAAATACATTTAGTATATATAAATTAAGTCTCAATAGGAAATTTAAATTTATATTTCTTCAGTCAAAATCATCTATGTACATTCCCTGTACAACCACCAGTATCAATTATATTGATATATCATGATGGATATGATCTGATGGAATGTCTAGTAGAGCTTATTGAACATCTGTAGAATATCTAAACATTCTTTTCATTTTTACTATGAATAGAATGCTATACTGTTTGCTGAGAATCTATTCCTTTTTCAGTCATAAAATTTCACATCACTTATTTACCACCATTTCATATATGTATTAGTTTGTTGTAGAAATTAACTGCCTCCCAGAAGAAGAAGAAGAAAAAAAAAAAAAAAAAAGCTCTGAAAATTAAAAAAAAAAAAAAGAATTTATTTCAGGATCTGTTGATGTTTTAAAAGTTTGTGAGCGTATTTTTTCTGATATTATTGAAAATATAAGTGGAAATAAAAATTCTTCTTTTGGGATATATTTCACTCTGAGTTAATTTTAACTGGTTTAATTTCTGTCACATGCTGTAGAACATTTTCAGAATGGCTTCTTGGAAAGCCATTTCTCTGATTTCTCCTCATGTTAGAAGGAGCTAAATGTGCTTATAAATTCTGAAGGGTGTCTGAGCAGTATGTATCTTTACTTAAAATAAATATTTTCTGTTTAAGAAGTGTAGATATATATGTTTACATCATAATATGGATTTGATTTTACTCAATGTTTCAGCTGCTACAGAGGTTTCCTTTTCATTTGATGTTGGAAATGGACCTGTGGAAATAATCGTCCGGTCTCCCAATCAGCTGAATGATGACCAGTGGCATCGGGTCAGTGCAGAGAGGAACGTCAAACAGGCCAGCCTGCAGGTAGATCAGTTGCCACCAGAAGTCCGGAAAGCACCAACGGAAGGACACACACGACTGGAATTGTACAGCCAGCTCTATGTAGGTAAGGTGCAGAGAAAATTACCAGGCTTTCAGGTACTGGATGAACTCTCTGCCTCATCTCTAGCAAGCATCAGTTAATTTAACATGGGAAGATGCCTTCCCAAATATTTGAGAAAAAATAATACAGAAGGAGAAATGACAAGCACCTGCAAAACTACAGAGATAAGAGGATTAGCTAAGAGAAAATATTCTGTACTGGCAACATGTCATTTTTTGGCCAAACTCCTGTTTTGGCCAGTTTCTCTCTCACTTGTACTTATTTACAATTGAATTTAAAATCTCTGTATAGATCATGCCAGGACTGTGTGAACCTGCTGTGTCCATCCTAGTCGCACAGGTTTGGTCACTGTCCATGCTTCTGGTCTTACTGCAGTAATTTCTCTTTAGTCATATGGGCTGTTTTTCCATTTGCTGTAGGAAAGAATCACATCGTGCCACAAAAAAATTCATTCACCAGAACCAAATGAATACAGCCGCTTTCTGGAGACGCTGGTTTCTAGTGCATTTTTAGCATGTTATTCCAGCTGTACTTGTATTTCTCTGACTGCTAGACCTAGGAATCCAAAGGCCAGACATGGCAAGTGCCAGTAGTTGGAATTAGAAGAATGTGAGCAAAGAAGCAGCACCTTCCTACCTCTTTACATATCTGTTAAGTGAAGAAAGGAAGGAAGAAGAAAAAACAGATGTTACCTTATTTTTTTCCATGTTAGTCCAGATAAAACAGCAGAAATTAATCAAAATGTTGTTTAAAGCCTTTCCCTCCTTGGTAAGCAGCACATGTTGCTGTAGACCACTTTACAAGTGTCACCAGAGATATAGCCATTGTTTACACAATGAGTTTCTCCTTTACTGCTGACTGTGATTCCAATAAAAGCCTGTTTCCAAGTAAATTGAAATATGAATTTTTTTTTAGAAGACAAAGCTTTAGAAACACCAAGACTTTTTATGAAAACAGAAAAAGCTGAAAATATTCAAACCTGAGTTCTTGGGGAATTGCTAATAACTCTTGATTTTTATAAATTGTTTTGAATTAACACTTATACCATCCATCTTTTAAAATACTTGGTACTTGTACTGCCAAAAGCTGAATGTCCAAACCTGCAGCTGACTTTCTTTCTGAATCAGATACATTTCCTATAACTTACAAAGAATAGTGTCTCTGATTTAAATTCTAGCCGAGTCTGACAGAGAATTGATGTGAGTTCAAATGTCCTCAGTGAACACTCTGAGTATCACAGCCTGCAGAGTGACACGGAATAAGAATTATTTCAGTACTCCCTTTTCTGTGATAAATATTCCTTGGGACAATGAGGGAACCTGAAGCGTGACTTAAAATCCTAGGGGCTAGGACATCCATCAGGACAGGAAAGATGTGAGAATTGTAAGCGTTAGAATTCTTTTGTCACCATGGTGCATATTATTTTGCATAAAGTGGAACCACACCAGAATGGCCTCTACCCTGTGCACTTCAAAAGAGACCAGAATGAACTGTCTCCTCTTAATCCAAATTACCCAGTTACCAGACACAGATTTGAAGCAGCGTCTTTGATTTCTGTGACTGATTTGAAGCAGCAGATGGTCTGTATTTAGTCCTCTGCCCTATCCAGGTACTCTGTGCTCTGCAGAGATGAGTGTTCAGATCTCCTCAGGCATATGTGGGACTCTTCAGCATCTGTGGCACTGCAGTAATCAAAGGGATGAGAGCACTGTATGACAACTTCTCACTGTTTTTTGCTTGCAGTTTCAGGATTTGGGGTTTTTTTGGTTGTTGTTTGTTTGTTTGTTTTTAATCCAGCTCTGAGTAAGACTTTCTGAGATAGACTCATGTTTTTCAGCAGGTATTTACCAGAAAAAAAAAAGAAAAAAAAAAAAAGTCCTTAGTGACTGCTAAGAAAAACATTCCAATCCAGATTTTCTATATTTTCAAATACAGCTCTTCAGTGCTGTGTCCTTCTCCCTATATTTAGGCAATTTAGCATTATGCCCGATGTTGCTTGGAAATGAGTATCTTTATTCTTACTCCCTCTTTCTCCATGTCTGTTTTAAAATATATTAAACATGTTTCAAATATGTAACATATTATGATATCATAATTAGCAACCATCAGCAATAATTACCAAACAAAGTTATATCTTAGCAATGTAGCCAAGCCCATTTCTTCTATGGTCATCTCTAAAAATCTTAAAGCTTGATAAGTGTAAAGCAAAGGCACTTACTCTTTAGGTATATTCTTGGCACAGTCTGAAAACTGAGGTTTAACTTTTCACTGATTTCGATTTCACTAGGATGTGGTAATGCCTCTCTTTTATAAATAAGTTACTTAATTTACTTACCTGTTGTCACAAGTCTAGTAGGATATTTCCTATAAAACTCTTCACTGTTGTCTTTTTAATATTTCTGCTCAGGTGCCGCAGGAGGACAGCAGGGCTTCCTAGGTTGCATTCGCTCATTAAGGATGAATGGGATAACACTGGACTTGGAAGAAAGAGCAAAAGTCACTCTAGGGGTGAAACCTGGCTGCTCTGGCCACTGCACAAGCTATGGAATGTACTGTGCCAACGGAGGAAAGTGTGTTGAGAAATACAATGGCTACTCCTGTGATTGCTCCAAAACAGCATATGATGGACCATTTTGCATTAAAGGTAAATGAAATATGCAGAAGGCAGAGTATGGGTGAATAATTAAATCAATTTTTGAGATTTTATTAATTTAAAAACTAAATCCTGTTTAATACTTCTTACTGGCAAGTCACTGTCTGTGCAGCAGGCGTCTGGCTGGACTGGGAGACTGATATGATGAATTTAACCATGTAATATTACTACTGTTAATATGACAGCACTTACAAATCAGCCCAACCAGAGTTTGTCTGTGCTAAACATTAAATTATTCCTCTAGTTATGGTTTTTTTTTTTT